TGTTGGAAAAGCTTCCTACTGTTGATTTCCTATTACGTGCATGGAAATGCGAAAGCTAATCATTAATAAGAAATCTACCGTTGATCTTTGGAGGTGCCAAAGTAGATGTCGACCCACAGCACCGCCAAAGACAGTGTTCTCAGGCGGAAATTGTTGGAGCATAATTCTGTGGGAGATATATTTAATCTTCATCAGAAATTACGTGATAGATGAGACTAGTGTTCGTTACTCCATCCAGCAATGTAATTCTCTAATTCTAGTCAATGCGTCATCTCAACATAGTATTTCTTTCTTGCATGAATTTTCTTTTGTAAGAAGGTGTGAGTGAGCAAAGAGGTGGCGCAAAACTTTATTTGCTTCGCTTTTCTTTGAATAGCGTCAAGCAAATTCAATGTATATTAATTAGGAACAATGCAAATCTGGTAGCAATTACACGTATTCATGGTACATTAAAGTATGGGTCATTATCATTCCTATCACCATAAGGAGAGCAGAAACCCGGTGGCGGCTTATCCGGGACTGGAGGTGGTGGTGCAGATGGAGCTGGTGGCGGCGGCGGACAATTCTGAGCTGGAGGAGGAGGAACCGATGGATCCACCTGGGGAGCTTCCCACGGCTTTGCAGGATTTGCAAAGTACTCATCTCTGTCATAAACATAGGCTTTGGCCGGTAATGCAGGTTTTGGAGGAGGTGGAGCCGATGCATTTGGACGTTGCGCACGTGGGTTCGACTTTGGTTGATTACCGTATGGGCGAGCGCCTTGCTGTTGTCCATATGACGGCTGCTGCTGACCGTAAGGTTTTTGACCGTATTGCTGCTGGCCGTAGGGCTGTTGCTGACCGTATGGCTGTTGACCATAGGCTTGCTGGCCGTATGGCTGTTGACCATAGGCTTGCTGGCCGTATGGCTGCTGTCCGTAAGGTTGTTGCTGTTGTTGCCCATACGGTGGATATGGCTGCTGCGCTCCTTCACGAGAAGGTTTTTTCACGATCTTTCGTCCATCGAAAGAGACTGAGTCTTGTGTATCTCTCGTTCTTTCTCGGCTACCTCTTTTCATGAACTTTAGCCAACCGCCACCTTCTTTGGAGGCTTTTCCTGAAAATCGTGTTTCTCACGCGAATAAACGCCTTTGTCATCAATTTAGCTCCAACATACGCTTTTCTCCTTTTGCTGGGAATCTTTTAGTATAACGTGATGACTGGCTACTACTCTGCAACGTTCGAATGCTATTAGAGCTACTAAGGCTTCAAAAACTTTCCCTACCGTGCTAGCCTCTTCACTGTAATCTCTAGATCTTTCGGATTTTTTGCATTTCCTTCTTTCTTCCTCGTCGATGTCGCTATGATCACTGTCATCTCCTATATGTATCCTAGATGTTTGAGCAAAGATGCAGA